GTAGTGTTTTTGTATTAAACTACAAATGGTTTCAAATATTTTAATTTATTAACAAAACTATTCTTTTTAATTTCTTAATTTTTTGTCACAATCTTTAAGTACAATTTACCTAATTAATTTTAACTTTATTTTTTTTGGCTAAAGTATATTTTTAGCCCCTCACCTTAATTAGTTTGAAGGTTTTAGTTTCTTACCTTATACTATAAAGTTTTTATTCCCTGAATTTAAAGATTTGAAGATTTTACCCCCTTAAATTGACAAAATCCCTTAAACTAATGGAATCTGTTAACTTTCTGTTAAAATGAGAATAAAATATTTACAAAATCAATCCTTAAAGAATAAAAATATAATAATTTAGTCCCAAAGTTTTAAAAAAAATTAGTAATTTAAAAATAATTAGCGGATGTCTTTATCACATACATGAAAACAATATTAGATATCTACAATCAAATTAAGTGATTAGCTCAATTTGAAAAAAAAAATTCTGATTGAGATTTAAGAGAAAATTTTAATTGTATTCTTTAAGTCTTTTAGACTTTTTATCTTAATTCAGTCAAGAAAATTTTTCAAGAAAATTTTCTTTAATTTTAGTCAAAATTCCTTTTAATTTTAGTCAAAATTCCTTCTTAAAATTGAGTTAATCACTTGATTTATTATAGATATCTACTACTTTTCTCGTGTATGTAGCAAAGACATTTATTAATTCTTTTAAATTTTATAATTTTTTTTTAAATTTTATAATTTTTTTAATTTTTAAACTTTGGGCCTAAATTATTATATTTTTAATCTTTAAATACTTATTTTATAAATATTTTATTCTCAATAACTCTGTTAGTCTAAAGGTTAAAATCTTCATATATTTATTTAGGAGCTAAAACTTCGTAACGTAAGGTGATGAGCTAAAAACTTATTAAAGTGAGGGACTAAAGGTAAAGGTCTATTTTAGCTTTATTTTTTAATAATATTAAATTATTATTGTATTTTTATTTTTTACATTAACTTATCTTCAAAAAAAATATTAATTTAATAAACCAATTTTGTTAGTTAAATGAAATAATTAGAAGTTTTTTTTTCTTTATTTAAAAGTAATATAATTTTCTTTGTTAAAAATAAAAATTGGTGTATAATTCACCCTTTTATATTATATTATATTATATTATATTTATTATTTTTATAAAATTAATAATTTTAATAACAAAAAAATATACTTTACAATAACTACTAATTATTATATAACTAAATAATTATATCAATTAAAATTTATTATTTACAATTTATTACTTATTTTTCACTATCCATCATCCATTATTTACTAACAATTATTCATAGAGATGTCAACAAGGCTCCGCAGGGTCAGGGAGTCCTTCCTCGTCCCCGTCTTCGAAAATGGTAGGGACGGAGATCCTCACAAGGATTTTTAATGGGGGGCAAATTTTGCCCTCCATCCCCGCTCCTTGCGGAGAATGGGGATCCCCACGGGAATCCCATTCCTCACCAATTAATATAAAAAATAATTTTTTTACATATAATTAATTAATATTCAATTATAATGAATAAAATTCTAATAATTCAAGTATAATTAATTAAAATTCTTTAAATATAAATCATCTAGACATAAATAAAATTCAATCCAACATAAATAACTAAAAGGTTAATAATGGGTTGGGTAAAATTGGATTAAGTTTAAATTTTATCGAATTATATTTGGGTTTCAAGGTTGAATTAAATTTAAAATAAAATTAATTTATATATTTTTTAAAATTTTCGCAAGAATGGGGATCCCCATGGGGCCCCACGGGGTAGGGAATTTTCGCAAGGAGAAAATGCTTTCGGTCCTTGCCCCACGAGGAGGAATATTCCTCCTAACCCCATCCCTATGGCGAGGATTCCTACATTGCACCACGTGGATTGGAGCAAATTACCATCCCTAATTATTCACCTAACAATCATTTACCAATATGTTACTACTATTTACTATCCGTTATTAATTTTAGGTTAAATGCTAAATTTGGTCCCTCAACTTTAGTGAGTTGCACATTTTTGGTCCCTCAACAATTTTTTGCACTTTTTTTATCCTTAAACTTTAAGAAATGCACTTCGTTAGTCCTTCTATTAATTTCGATTGTTAACTCGCTCATGTGGCATTTTTTATTATTGTTTTGATGACGTGGCAAAAACAAATTGAAAACGTGTTGATGTGGATTTTTTTTTCATGATGTGGATTTTTTTTTTCATGCCAACTCACATGATTACTATTTATATTTAAAAAAAAAAAATTCCGTCTTCTTCCTTTCTCTTCTTTCTTCCTTTTCTTTCTTCCTCTTCTTCCTCGGGCCAGGCCATTGAACCCAGTTTGCTGGGTTCGACGGAACCTAGCAACTGGGTTCGATGGAACCTAGTGCTGGGTTCCATCGAAGCCAGATCTACTGGGTTCAACAGAACCCAGAACCCAGCTCCACTTTTTTTTTTTTTGTTTATATGATTATTTGCTAAGAGATTATCCAAATTGTAGGTTGTTGTGAGGTAATTTTAGGCAATTGGTTTTTTTTTTTTTTGTTATATGATTGTTTGTCAAGAGATTATTCAAATTACAAGTTGTTGCGAGGGATTTTTGGGCAATTGCAGGTTGTTGTGAGGGATTTTGAGGGATTTTTGGGCAATTGAGTTCAATGAATCGAGCTGGGTTCGATGAAACCTATTTGCTAGGTTACATTGAACCCAGATCTGCTGGGTTCTGTCGAACTTCAATCTTGAAAATGAAAAGAACACCATTTATGAAAAAAAGAAAAACAGTAACCGATGGGCAAAGAAGCAATTCTTAGTAGTGATGTGGGACTCATTTGGATGGATTTTGCGTGATTTCGCCAGGGTAGCATGTGACATGACAGAAGTTTTATGCATATCATCACTTTTTTAAGTTTTGCTCTCCACATCATCAAAAAAAAAAATGCCACCTAAGCAGGGTTAATGGCCCAAATTAATAAAAGGACTAACAGAGTGCATTTTGTATAGTTAAGGGATCAAAAAAGTGCAAAAAATTGTTGAGGGATCAAAAATGTGCATTTCATAAAGTTAAGGGACCAAATTAAACATTTAACCTTAATTTTATATGTTAAATTTTAAGTACTATTTCAATTAGGCTAGGCAGAGCAGTTTAAACGAGGGGCCTTCTATTTCAATTAGTATCAGATCTACGCCATGTTCCCCCCAGAACAAGATGCTTTCTCTTGGCTCATTTTCATCATCCTGATTCTTG